TTAGATAGTTTATATTATCCTCTATGATAAAAAAAATAAAATATTTTCTTAATTTTTATTTGAAAAAAAAAACAAATAACCTCTCGTCAATGTATAATTTTCCAATAAACCAATACGTTTTAAATGTGTTGGTGACATTGTAGCTAATGCAATTGCATCACCAATAGCTTCACTAAATGCACCATGTGGTGAACGACGAAACCAAAATGGTAAAGATTTATATTGTAAATAATGTTGAATATGACCCATTTCATGATGAACAATATAAAAATCACGTGATGTTAAACTTGTACACATACGAATTCTAAATAAAATCAAAAAAATGTTTTTAGCGCAATACCTGTAAGATTTAAAATGTGAAATATGATATAGCTGCTGTTTGCTAATCACAGGGAAATTGTTTTATTTTATCTACTTTGAGACACATTTCTTCACTGACCTTTGACTTAATTCTACAGAAATCCAATAAAGAAGTAGTTTCATATATTATAATGAGACGTTATTGATATATATTTTATGATCTAGAGCCTCGCTGTTCCGAGAAAACTGGAACCATTGCCACCGAAAATTGCTCGAACTCCAACTAAGAACAACATATAAAGTACTAGTTTATTTTTATGTATAACTAAGCATCCTTAATGTTTGCACAAAGTTTCAGCTTAATAAGATTCTTTACTAACGAAAAGATTATTCCTGCCGATTAATAACCATTCTTTTTTTTATATTTTCTCTTTGTTGTTTTATCTTTCGAAGAAATTCCTTTTTCAAAAATAATAGACATTAACAATTTCGAAAAACGAAATGTAACTTAAACATTGATAGAAAAAAAATTATTATATTAGTTATCTGGCATACTATTATTAGAACACCGCTTGCGAACATACTTTTTAGGAACTAACATCAAGACCGCTTTTTTTTTCGTTTTTACTAACCAGAACTATCGATTGTGGTTCTGGATATTTCTTGGTACTATCGGTATTTACTGTGACTATATATCAACAACATCTCTTACGGTATGTGATGAACTGTTTTAGCTTGTCTGCCATGTCTGTAGGTGGCCCAAAGTGATACCTGTACTCTTCAACACATCTTTTAATTTGTGTTTGATAAAATCAATCAATAATTGGTAATATGATTAAACATACCTAACATCATCATATTTATACATATCAAAAGCAGTTGGATGACAAGCCATATGACGATTAGGAATTTTTTTAAATATTGATAAATTCCAAAAACTATTTGGAACTTGTGTTAAATTTAATGAAACAAAAAATCTGTCGGCATAATGAAAAATTTTTTCTTCAGTAAAATTCTAATCGTTAAAAAAAAAAGAGAACAAAATATAATTCAAATAAAAAGAACTTTTTATAACAAGAAAGAAAAAACAAACTTCTTGTTTCATTGCAGGACCTAAATCAATGCCTTTAAGATAAGGAAATGGTAGAATATCTTTTACAAGATAAGTCATCATTGAACCAAATAAATCTTCTACAATAGATATATAAATATTAAGATAATATTTTTTTTGATTTTATTATTTCAGACTTGTTAAATGAATTGGAATAGGTTGATCAAGTTGGATAAGTTCAGGATATAGTTTGCTCATTTGTTGTCTTACATAAGCATGTAATAGACGATGTAGTGGTTTCAATTCTTGCCATAATTGTTCAACGATACGACGTTCTTCGATATTTGTTGTTAAATCAGTTTTATCAGTTAAGCCTTAGCGAAGAAATATAAAAGAAGAATTATTTTAATAGGAAAAAAAAACAAACGATTCAGGGTAATAAGAAGATTCTGTCATGCTTTTGTCAGAAACAATTCATTGAACTGATTCGATCACTCGTAACTGTCTTGAACCAAAACATGAATTTTTTTCTTTCTCTCTCTCTCATTTTAGTTTTTATTTAAGTAAATCGGTAACACGAAGATATTATTCGACATAACGTACAAATATTTACAAACAGAATTTAATGAGAAAAATGAATTTAGACCATAGTTTTGTAATGTTAGCTTCTTATCAATGTATAACTAAATTAGCTAAATGAGATCTCTTATACAGTGAAACGAGATATTATTAATTTAGTGAATAGATTCCAAAAGAGCGTGTTTCTCCTTCCATCATATGTCAAGATGATGACAGTTTCATTCTTCTAATAAATCGTATAGGAAATGGATAACAACAAGATTTCTTTCCATACCTTAACAATATGGTGACTTTTAGAAGGGTTAGTGGACTCACAAGAAAAAAATCTACTTCTATGTCATTATAATCAATCAAAGTGCTTGGAATCATCTGGTTTTCCTTCATTAAGGGCCTCCCCCTTAGAAAGTCCAATTTTTATCAGAGAAAGATGCAGCGAAGCTTCCTCTCTCAGAATATCTATGACCTTTTGAAAAATGATCAAATTTTCAAAGACTTATCACATGAAACTTTGATTCTACCATCATATTTTTTTTTGAGTAATTTTCATGGTTTTTAGTTTTGGAAAAACTGCGTTGCCATTTACATTAGCATTGAGTAGAACATTTTTATATGAGCAAGCATGTCAGATGCCGTCAGCTATCTTCATCTCTTACGTATTTTAAAACGGTCCACTGGAATGAATTAGTAATATCTCATTATACTATGATTTTCTCTGGATTTGAACGAAAAAATCTATTTCTAAATTTGTTTATCGTTTTTCTCAGAACACGCTTTCCAATCAGAAAAATTGGAACTTCTCCTTCCAGGCTCAGACTACACCCCAATATTTTTTTATTGTTTTAAAGATCTGAACGAGAGTAAACTTTTGTCCGAACGGATTTTTGATATTTGATTCCGGGGCTGAGAAAAGTGAAATTTACTGTCGTTGGATCACCACTTTTCATGCTGATCTTTAGATCATATCACCAAAAATGCTCATAAAAAATGAATGAAATTGAATTTCAAAGTTCTGATCGGACAAAAGTTGCACACTGACATTAGCTTTAATTTGAAACCACTCCGAACTGTCTACCTCATCTTACAAGGAAGTTATATCAATTCTCCTGAAGGCCAAAAATGACCTATGAATCATCTGGAAATCCTGTCTAATACAACCAATCGAGCTGAACTTTTTACCAGAAGCGTATCTCTCTAGGTTGAGTGATAGATAAGATCATTCTACCCAATCATAATAGTCAATATCAGAACTGGAAAGTTATCGTTATGTTGACAACTGTCCAGTAACAGGTAATGGTGAATTTGTGAGTTTATCAAGAACAAAGCTGTTTTTCAAAATAAATAATATTTTATAAAGTTTGATCAAAAGCTTTCGAAGTCGAAGAATCCAAATCTGTAATCAGATTCTTGAAATTGTACACTTGATTTATCGTTACACCAAAAATTATTTTAGGACATTTTACCGAGAAATCAAGTACATAGTTTCGGATTCCTGAACAGTGAAAACCTTTGATCAAACTTTATAAAAAGCCACAATATTCCTCTTAATAACTATTCTCTGTCGAAAAAAATCAAATTCATAAATTTGCCGGTACCAGTTACTTGGTAGCGTAACGGTAACTTCCTTCCCTACTCCAGTGGCCAGAATCATTGTAGATTCATTGAAATCATGGAATCATCTATTTCTTTCTTCAGTGAAGGCCCAGCGCACATACTTTAACATTAGGGTCGTAGAGCACGAGAAACAATCAGTGAAAATATTAAACTCAATGAATAAGTAAGAATAATATTTGTAACTACGAGCATAATGAAAAGGAAATAGAGAAGAACAAGTTTACAACTGACATGGAATATGTTTGTCATTAGATTAATTTGATATAATATATTTGGATAACGAGTATAAATAGGCTGTGAAACATGCTTTGAAACATTAAATTTTTTCTTTATTTTTATCGCATTCCAAAAAACTAGATTGCGGTCTCGCAGGAATTGCAATACAAGCCGTTTTATCTTGAAAAATGGAGCGTTTAGATACGAAAAATTGTTCTATAATATATTCTACTCATTGAAAATAATTAGCCTAATTAAGGTTATATTGTTTTTTCCCTTTTTTTTACTAATTAATTTAAGTTACTGGATACATATACAGACATAACTTCTATTTCTAAAGACTCTTCTATTAAAAATTGTCGTACTTAACGTTCTGTTTTTCCTTATAAAGCTATATATAGTATCCGCGAGAATGTAATAAATAAAAATGGCCTATTGCAACAAAACTTTATCACTCAAATTCTATCGAATCTGTCTAGCGACGATTTCGAAATAGTAATATTTTAGATATGCTATTTGAAAATATTTTAATTAATCTATGTCGATAATATCTTCTAATTTTATTTTGTATTAAATCATTTTTAAAATAACTGAGAACATGAGATATGAGAATGGGTTACTGCTGAGGTACGGTTCTGTTTGGCCTGTTGATTTTGTATAGCAATTAATGTTGAATAATAATCTCGCATAGGTATAGCTACTTCATAAGCTGCATTCCATAATGAAAGAAGATCATCGGGTGATTCAAGTTTACCAAGTACTTCTTGTACTTCTATAAAATGATATATTCATTTTTTATTTTTATCATCTAAATAAATAAACAAACCATCAATGCCTAATTGTGTATTATTCCAAATAAATTTTCGATGATAAATTTCTTTCATACGAGATCGTAATTTTTGCATTTCAAGTTTAATAACTGTATTATTTTCTCCAGCATCACCAATAGCTTGTGTACGCAATAATAACCAACGAATTGAAGTTTGGTTATTATTTATTAAAGATTGAAAACGTCGTGCAACAATAGCAATTGTTTTCAGACAAGAACGATAAATTTCATAATATTTATCCTGCATTCAAAAATAAAATTAAAAATATCTATGACAAAAAAAAAATCAGTAAACATTTACCGTTGTACGTCTTTTACTTGAATCATTCAAATATAAATGTGTTTGAAATTCAGCTAATGATGTTATATAAGCAAGACTTGTTATATTTGTATCATATTCATCTAATATTGATTTAACCTATTTGTATAAATATAGAGAGACTAAGATTTTAGGACGATTTCAAGTTTATCTCATTAATCCCCATAATAAACCTTATTTCTATGAATAGTTGGTGTACTCAATAGTGTTCAGCAGTATATATGTTCATTAAAAAGTTTTTCTCAGCAACAAGCATTTAGATAAAATCACAGTTCTAGTTTTCTGCTCAGTAAGATGACATATTGCCAAGTGCTACGCTTTAATAAATATACATACTGCTAAGTGCTATGGAGTGTCACACTAACTAGGTAGGAAATAATACTTTTCTAGAGAGATACTACTATAATTTAAAATTGAGTAAACAATAAGTTTTATATCAAATGAAAGTTTGTCGAAAACGGAATTTATTATTATTAAAAAATAAGTATTATGAAGACTTTCGTATGTCGAACTCTCAAAATTTGTAATATTTTATCAATTATAGGTACAAGAAAAGTTTGTCCATGAGATAGAGTTCGAACTAAATGTGATATAAAATTAAGTTTTTTTTTAATCATTTAATGAATACAATCAAATAATGACCGTTATAGAGAACGATTAAAGTTGTTTCATGTTATTCAAAATTTGTTAAAATCAGAAACTCATAAATTTTATGTATGGACCCAGGTTGATGAATACAGAGTTTGTATATGCATGTATTTTGACGGTTTACATGGTTCAGTATTACGATCGTATATTTCCGTGACCGTATACGGCGAAATACGATCATACGCGGGGAGAAATATGGAACAAAACGGAGACCGTACGCGAGGGTTGTAAGCGATCGTCTTTTCTCTCCGTTATATCGTTGTATATCTCTGTATACGACATGAAGATATATGATTGTAATACTGAATCATATAAATCGTCGTATTTTTCCGTATACCGTCGTTTACGATCGTGCTTGTTTGACCTGGGAACCATTCGCAGCTCAAATTTTCAGAATGAACGAGTTTGGATAAGAAGAATAGAAGATATTGAAGACAATGAAAGATACCATGAAATGATTAAAAATCAAGCGTATATTGAGATTTTTGTTATTTTTTTATTGTCAAGCAATTACATTAGGTTATCAAAGAGAAAGATGAATCTTGAACTGATCAATACTTTCGTGATATAATTGTGATTCGAAAATGTATTTTCTTTCTTAAAAAAATGAAAATAATGTTATAGGTATCGATGAAGTTATATTTATCCATGATAAAGCATCGTGTATGCGAACAAATATGATCCAGCATTTGCTTCAAGATAACGATGTTAACTTATGGAGTAATGATATGTGTCCTGGAAATTCATTGGATCTCAATATGACAGAACATATTGAAACAATAATCAAAGATGATATTGCAAAAAAAAAATGTTATTAGAACCTGGACGTAATCGGTATCTTGAAGAAACACTCGAAATGCAAATTTCACATGTTTTCACAAACATAGAAACAAATACTGAGCTATTTGAAACTCTTCTATGTTCGTATTCATGTTAACTTTGTGTAGTAAAGAACGCTAACGGTTGTCACACTAATTATTGATCTTGCATCTATTAAATTATGAAAAAACAAACCTAATTTTGTATCACATTTAGTTCGAATTATATCTCATGAACAATTTTTCTTATACCTATACTCGGTGAAATAGTATTTTCTATCTAATACATTATTTCATAGAAGAAGGATATGATTACTAAAAAAATCTCTACTTAAATCTTGAAGGGCTTTCCTCTTTTATGATCTGAAGCTTTTGTTTTTTTTCATTTTCAGTTTTCTATGGTCATCGTGTAGTCTGAAGTAGTATCTATCTATTGAGTACATTTGAGATCCGAAAATAGTCTTTCAACGTTAAAAAATCAAACTAGTGAAAACTGTACATTGCTTCGCGTTTTTCTCCAACCAACTTTTTCATATAAAAAAAAATGCAGAAATGCCCCCACATCTCCAGTTTAATACGTCTCATCGAACTTTTTTCATGTGTACTATACATTGTTTGAAATGGGTATTTTTTTTTGTTTCAAAAAATATCGTTCTGTTGATTTTTGATAGCTCTTACAACAAAAATTCTATTCAAAAAAAACGTGCGTTTTTAGGGTACCTGCGATATTTTGGTTTTTGTATCCGAAGAACAAAAAATAAAAAGATACTCACCCTAAACAGTGTTTTGTGTCTATAAAAAAAATTTTCTGCTTGATCGAGCATAGCATCTCGAAGAAACGGAAGCCATCGTGATCCGAGTATCTCATAGAAGATAGTGTCTATGAACTTTGAGTCTATAACAACTTTTGCTCTACTGGTCAAGATTTAGTTATCCTGAAAATTTCAAAATTTTTTGATGAGTTGTTCTTCAGAAACGGAAGGAGTACTCTTAATGATGTTCATACAAAAATGTTTTTTTGCTATAAAATCTCTATGCAACATAATATAATCTATTTACAAATTGTTCTTGTTCTTTGATAGTCATTTGTTCTAGTTTTTCATGATTAATATCAATATCATTACATTGTACAATATCTTCAACTTGTTGACAGTAAATATTTAATATAACAATAAATAAAATACTTATAATAAAAAATTTCATAGTAATCACCATATAAATAAATACATCCAACAGTAAAATATAGATGACAACTTTTTTCTATTTGTATTTTGTTTGGAATGTAATTATATTTTTGTATTTCTGTGCAAATGATTGACGATCGACAGCTATACACACACAAAAAAAAATTTTTTTTTTTTGTTCTAATAAGATTGATTGCCTAAAGCAGTCACTGTTAGCGTTGGGAATATGTTTATCAATATAAATAAGCGTCAAAGTTATTCATGCAATTAGAATGACTCTATACTATGCAGTAAAGTGTCGAGATGTAAAATAACTTTCATGTTCTATTAGATTTTTTCATAGCAATAGAACAAACTAAAGATTGATAATTATTATTCAACATATTTCTTCTTTGTTTATCAGCGATACATCGATCTGTAGAACAAATATTTTGCTTATAGTGATATTCTTCTATTTAATATTTGTGTTATTCACTATTTATTTATAATTATAACAAAATTAATTCCTTTTCTTTTTGTTGTTTTTATTACAAAATCCCATTACCCGAGAAATACATATGTCAAAAAAGAAAGAAAGAAAGAATTCTTAATTTTGATTAACAGCAACCAGATTTTTTTGTTTTTGATGATAGATTAATAATATTTTCACCTTTACGTAATCGATCATCTTTTTCTTGCATTAATCTACAGAGAAAATGATTTGTCAAAAAAAAATATAAAAGAATTTTAATAACAAATTACCGAGCAATTGCTTCCATTATTTCAATAACTGATGTACCTAGTCGAGCACTACTTTCAAAGAATAAACATCGATATTCCTATAAATGAAAAAACAAACACAGATATTTTAATTGAAAGAAAATAAATAAATCAAATTTACATCAGCTAATTTTGCTCCATCTTTATATTTAACAGGCCGTTGTTCATCATCATTACATAAATCAGTTTTATTACCAACAAGAACTACAACACAATCTGCATCTGTTAGTTCCTATAATTATTTTTTATATTAAAAACGAAAAAAAAAAAGAAATATACTTGAGTGCATGCTATCCATGAACGAACATTTTGAAATGTTATTTCAGATGTAACATCATAAACAAGAATAATTCCATCACATTTACGTAAAAATTGTTTAGTAATACTTCGAAATCTAATTTAAAAACAAAAATAATTTTTTTTATTTTTGCTGTCAAAACATCACAGACCTTTCTTGACCAGCCTAAAGAATATATATTGGAATAAATGATTTGAAGAAAAAAAAACAAACAAGATATAATTCTTACAGTATCCCATATTTGTAATGCTACAATACGATTATCTATATTGAGCATTTTAACTTGTATATCAACACCTAGTGTCGCTGAAAACGTTTCTGTAAAATGATCTTTACAAAATCGTTGAATAAAACTTGTTTTTCCAACTCCACTATCACCTAAATATAATGAATTTTTTTCGAAATAGATTTACTTTCATTTTTATTTGACAAACCAATAAGAGCTACTTTAAATATTCGATCAGGTGATGCATTAGATGGTACATTCTAAAATTAATACAAAATAATTAATCATATAAATATTCGTTCTATTTTTACCATTAATTCTGAATGTTGAAAAACTGTTTGAGCACCAATTGGTTGATGACGTCTACCCAATTTTTCAGTTCTAAATAAATAAATATATATGATTTCTTTATGTTCTTGTAGAAGTAATAGTTGATTGAAGAGAAAAAACATCCGTGTATTGTTATATGGACGAAAGAAATAATAAATCATCATGCTCATCATTTTTATCTTCAGTTTGATTTACATTTAAACATAAAGGATATCATATTTGAAATCGGTCGGATCGATCAGTTGAAATTCTTGACTTAGCCAGCAAAAATCCAGTGCGTTTAGTATATGAATTAACTGATCAGTGTTTTTTGAGAAATAGTCTAGTACTTCAGTTCTACAAAGGTATGCAATGTAAAATTTATATAACTCTTAGAATTTCTAATAGTAACAACTCCTATTTTAGTTTGTTACGTTTTCATATGTGTTATCATTAAGAACAAACGAAGATTTCTTTCGAAAAGTTTCATCTAGTTACTCGCAGATATTAACATCTATATTATGCTTTGGCTGACTTCTTTTTAATAGTGGATATAATTTTTTTTTTACAATTAATAAGTTGGATCTATTTTTATTTAAAATAATTATTTAACAGAGCTGAAGAACATCTTAATTTGTAAAAGGATACTATTTCTAACAGAAAGACAAGGTGAACTAAAACGTACAGTTTTTATATTAGACTTCTTATTTTAAAATTTCTTAATGTCTCAATATTTTTACAGTTGTATAATGCTAATAGTTGGAAAGATTTTGACAATAGAATGGAATCTTTTTTGATAGCTAGAAAACTCAAGGTGAAAAAATCTTTAGTTTAGACCGAAATTAACTTTTAATACTTGGCTAACTTTTCGTAAGCATCATCCGAGATTTTGATCCTACGATGAGAAAGTGTTAGCTCAGTATCTAAAGCTGTAATTTTGACGATGACTAGAGAGATTTGTCTGTGTGAGACTTCCAGGCTCATATCTCTTGATCATTGAAGCCATGAAAATCGTTAAAAATGAGTAAAATAGGCCAGGCCAACTCGAAGTACATAGAACACTATGAAAAATAGGAGATTTCCATTCTTTTCTTTTATGAAATTGTTCATCTATGAACAAGTGATTGTAAATTGATAAATTACTTGAATTTACAGCGTTCAAAAGGTTGATTAGATTATTTTTAATAATTGTGTTCAGTTCGCTATATTTGAAGGGAACCTCAGAAGTTTCTCATTTTGAAACAGTTGAATAGAGTATCAATTGCTCTATTGAATCATACAGTTTTCATTTTGTTTTCTTTGAATCTTGTTCAAAAATATGATACATTTAGAAAATCGGCATCTACAATTTTTGCATTCAGCAATTTTTCGACCATTTCTCAAGTAGTTTTTTTACTATTTCCTGGAATACTAAAAATTTTTATTTTTATATAGAATAATAGACCGTAGTTTCTTCTACCGAACTAAGTATTTTGTATTGGACTTATGTTTTATCTTTAGTATAAACTTGGGGAACTTTTCCAAGAAATGTGTTCCTGAACTTTTTTCATATATAAATTTATCAGATTTTTAGAGAAGATGCAACATAAATAAAATAAAAACTATGTAGTTCAATAGAGTAAGTGATACTCTATCCAACTATATCAAAATAAGAAATATCCGAGGTTTTGTATAAATACAGCAAACTGAACAAAACTGTCAAAAATAATGTGATCATGCTGTATACGCACAGAGAATTTTATAAACAAGGAACAAACATGAATACTTATTATTGTTTTTTTAATAAAAGTATTTCGAAAACTTTTTGAATAGTCTATGGATACATTACCCAAAATGATCTTGATTTTTTGTGATTCCAGTATTACTTTCAGTTTCATCATTATCTAATGAATATATAACATCATCATCTTCTTCAGGTTCACTATCATCTCTAGAAATAAATAATATAAATATTTACAAAATAATCTTTTTATTAAAATCTAAAATTTAATGTAATTAGATAGAGACTTGACATATAAAAAAAATATATTTGAATAATTATTATTAATCATTAACTATATCATCAAATCTAACATGAAAAACCTTGTTATGTCCTTGTCAGAAATAAAGAGGGGCTGGTATCATCTCAATAATGACAACTGCTAATGACATGTGGTTATTAGCAATCGAAAGAGGAAAGCTCTGAATGTCTTGTTTCTGATGATATATAAGGATAAAATCATTTTAGAATATATCATCCTCGCAACACATTCAACAAAAAAATGTATGAAAATGGTGTTTCGTTTTGATGTAAATTTGATTTTAATATGTGCTTCAGATCTATAGTTCAATGCATGATCTAGATAATTACCATCTCATATCTCAATGCTGAGTAAGCAAAATCATGCATCTATCCCGTCAAATTATATAGAATTCTATTGATTTTTAGCAAATTTTCTGATTTTTTTTATCAGAATTTCCTTAAAAGGGAACACCATTTTCATGCATTTTTTTTTAAATGTTTTGAGAAGATGATGAGTTCTAAAATAATTTTCTCTCATATAGTATCAGACAAAAAAGACGTTCGACGTTCTCCTGTTTAAATTTCTGAAAACTGCAGATTGCAAACTGTTGTTGTCGAGTTATTGAGTTTACATCAACACCTCTTTAATTCTAGCGTGGACATTAGATAAGATAAGAAATTTTATCTTAAAATCTAATTATTCAAGTTTTAGATTGATAATTTGTTCCAACAGAATTAGATTTCTAATCTTTAGTAAATAAAAATATCAAATATTAATTCAATATAATCTCTCGATTAAAATATTTTTAATCGATTTTTTTTTCAAATTAAATTCTCATGATAAAATAATTTCAATTTTATGTTCATCAATTTTTCGAAAAAACGTTTATTTGTATTGATAACTAATAAATTTATAATTAAAATCAATTTGATACAATATACCTATATGGTGATGAAAGATAATTTGATAGAATAGAATTCTTTTTCTCTGTTGATCCATGAGTTAATATTAAATTACGGTCTTGTGACTAAAATTTTGAATAGAAATCTGTCTAAAAATAATTTTAATTCTTTCAACTTACATTAACATCATGTTGAAGATCACGTTCATCAACTAAACGTTTATTTAGAGATCTATAAAATAAAGAATGTATACATGATTCGAGAATTTTGTTTTGACTAACTTAAGTGTAGTAAGTTCTTTAACAAGATTTTCACGTTCAATAACAAGATTTTCAGTTAAATTTAATGCTTGTCTAAAATGAAATAAAATATAAATAAATACTTCTCAAATAGATTTTTTTGAATATTAACTTTGCTCTATCACGTTTTTCTTTTTTTGTTTGAAATTGTAATTGAGATATATAATGTTTTGATTCTTCAAGATTTTTTGTTATTTCTTGTAATTGTTGTTTAAGTTCAATTTTTTCCTACAAAATCTCAAGAAAAAAAAAATGTTTTCTTTTTCTTTTTATTGCTTATTTTAATATACTTTTTGTAATCGTTCATTATCATTTTTTATTTCTGTTTCATTTAAATTAGTATGAATTAATTTCATTTCTAAATCATTTTGTTTTTTAGTTACTTCAGCTAATTGTTGCTCTTTTATATGTAATTGTTCTTCCATTTGTTGTCGAAGTTCACGTTCTTTTAATTTTTCCTTATCAAAAACAAAAAAAAAGAAAACAAACAAATGATATTAATCTTTTTGTGTTTCTTTTTTTCGAAAAATTAAAATAAATTCATTTACTTCTTCGAGTACTTTAGCTTTTTCATTTTTAATTTGTTGTTCCATTTCATCATATAATTTTTTTATTTCATCATTATATACAGATGATTTACTTCGTAATACTGCTTCTATACTTTGATGATCTAATTTTGAACGTTTTATTTCATCTGTAACTTTACCAATAAATTGTTCAAATTGTCGTAATAAAATTGGATCAGTTTCACGTAATTTCATCCATAATCCCATAATTGTTTCTTCGTCATCATATAAACCTTTTGCTCCTAATGCTGTTAATGTATCATAAAATGCTTGTTGTTCTTCACTTTCATTAGGATTATGTTCGATCAATTCTTGTTCATTGTCATTAAAATTCGCCATTTGATTACTAAGAAACATGCTAAAACCAGCTTAAAATAAATGAATAATTGAAGAAAAATGTTCAATATATAACTTACATGTAAATTCCTCAAGTGTTAAAAAACCATTATGATCAATATCTAATGAATCAAAAACATCTTCAAGTTGTTCAGATTCAACACCAAGTTCATCACGTAAATGTTGTATATCTTTTCTAATAATAAAACCTTTTTCTTCTTGATCACATATTTGAAATAATTCTTTTGCTTTAGCCGATATTAAATCTTGAATATTACCAGTTATTTCATTAGTCATAATTGAAATATCAATCTAAATTGTAAGAATAGAAATCGAAACATATTTCTTACTGCAAATAAATAGTTTTTGCAGAGATTTTTCTTATTTATCTCACTATGCATCATATGTGTTATTCAGCTGTTGCTTAAGTATACATTTCTTGATGACCTACCTACATAAACTACTTTGCTTAAATAGTAGTTAGAATATTTGAATGTTATGAATTGAATCGTGCGAATAATTTCTATGAGTAAGAAGGATAAGGTAGAATCGAATATCAACTAAATAAATGGATACTTAAGTGGCTTTATGCGTCTGTCATTTTTCATGTGTTTTTTACTTATTCGTTTTCTTTTTTGTATGACTCTCGTTGATATGTACAGGGAAAGAGAAAAAAAAAAGAATATCGATGCAAGGATCTCGACAGCTGCCGTCTGAATGGTTTGGATCAGACCACTTGATATAAGTTGTTTCATTTCAAGAACGTCGTTTTCATAATGGACTTAAACGATGCATATCAACAGAACTATTGGAGGTGATCAAAATAAAAACAAAAAAAGAAATAACACAAATATTTTGACTTATTACCAATATTTCTTTTTTGAATTTGCAATTGAGAAAAAATAGATGATATTATTCATAACAAATCAGGAATTTATTCCATAGAATTTACTTATGTTTTCGAACTCTTCAGTTCAAATTGAAATTGTTTTATGTTGGACATATGACATGATTTAATTGTACATAGTCCCTATAGAACTGATAATATGATTAAACTTTCAAATGAACGAATTCAAGACCATTCAATCAAATATATATGACCTGTTCATTTTGATCTTCCATACATTGCATGAGAACACCTTTTTTTTTATCTGATCTATGCCTCGAATTATATGGAAAGAAATTTATTACAAACTGCATCTATAACATGGCAAATCACATTAGAATCAACAATAATTGTTTTTATTATTATTCATATCACTTACGCTGAAATACAATAACGATACATGTTATTCGTATGATTAACAAAAATCTAGTGTGTATGTTTCGGGCGTCCGAAACTCACTTGATAATAATGTTATCAACAGAGAACAAGATAAATGTTATTTCCATAAAAATATTTTCTAAAGAAAACTTGTCAGTGCGTCCCCTTGCGGAGTTAAACTTACAATCTCTGACTGTTATAAATTTATGATATATAGTCAGTAATTTTAAAACAAGTTATTTAAAAAAATATTAAATAAATGAATTAATCAGAATTATAAGAATTTTTATAGTTGATACGCGCGTTCTGAAATGTTACTTTGTCGAAGTCTCATATTTAGCATTACTTTTCTATCGATTTATTTGATTCATTTAACATCTTAATGTTGAAAAAAAAGTTATTTTTATTCTCCAATACATCTTCAATACATAACATCTATTTACTTAATAATAGTATCTATACGATACATGTTAAATATTAAATATCAAAAATACTAAATATTAAATAATAAAAAGTATTAAATATTAATTATTAATAATATTAAATATTAGTTATTAATTAATTAATTCGCCATTTTACTAATTAGCTAATTAATTGATTTGTTTGTAACGATCTGTAATGGGGGTTGCTATAGTCTGTAATGGGGAGTCTGTTGTTAGGAGTCTGTAATGAGGGCTTAGGGGGAACCGCGAAACCTCGATTTAATACTTATACTCACTATTTTCTTCGAAAATATACGTGAGTTTCACAAAAAGAACATAGAAATTTTTATCGTGGAGTGATCGAAATTATGCTTAAAAAATTACAACCCATATTTCAAGACACCTGTTGTCGAGGTTTTCTCAGAATTTCTACTATTGTGTTTCTAATAATTATCAATTGTTCATAGCTATGGAATTTGAATTATTTCCATTGAATAAGACCAATATAGCGGACAACTTGCTGTTTAAGATTGGTTGAGTTCGAGGAACTTTTCTATAATTGCTATCAAACTGATACAGAAAAACTTGATAAGAGATTTTTTGAAATAATGATAGTAACTTTATAAGTAGAAGTTAGATCGATTCATGATAAAAATTTCCTATGTTCTTTTTTTTTGCAGGATATTTTTATGAAGATAACACTATTATCAAATGAGTCTCATGTATCAGAAACATACTAGATTGTTTTTAATCATACGAATAATTATTGCCGTTCTTGTATCTCAATGTCTTTCTATACAAATATAAAAAATGATATTAATAATTCATTCGAAAAAAGTTATTTCCTACTAACTAATAATTTCTAAATTGATACGATCGACATAACATTAGTTGTTATTGTCATAAATTGAGAGAGATTGTCAATAATAGTCATGATGACTCTATCGACACTTAGATTTTCGATAAATTACATTCTCAATTAAATTGGATAAATAAAATCTATATGAAATCTATAATAATTGAATCTTTTACTAATAATCATGTAATACTTTTAGTTAGGTATATATTCACTCTGATGTTTTCAATTTGTGAGTTATAGTAAGAGCAATTTCTCGTTAAGTATTGATTGAAATATGTTCTTTTGAAAATTCCAAACTAATATAAACTATGATGCAAAAGTAATGGTCGAAATCTCTAATCATAGTTCTCTGTTTAGGAACATCTTGTAAAGTAAATTTTTTTTTTTTATTAAAACGAGCAATGTCTGAACTACAAAGTTTGTATCAGCCACATTTTTTCAAAACGAATTCGAGAAAAAACAAAAGCCCAAAACTAAACACGTCTTAAAAAGTTCTTGCAACATTTTTTAGCTTGAAAAATGTGTGTTTCTCAATTATTTTAGGCTACACGGTCTAAATATTCACAAAAAAATACACAAAAATGTAGTGCATCAAAAATTCTATTACTATCAGCATTGTGAAAATTGTTTAGATCCATTCTTGACTGTTTAATCGAACAAGTTTGAAAAATGAGATTTTTTCCAAGAACTATCAGTCTGAAAGAATATCAGCCATTAGTATCAGAAATCATATATCAAGTCGATTTATTTTGCGTTATTCGTTCGAAATATGTCAGATCATAGAAATTTAACACAAAAAAAAATAACTCAATATATATATTTTTTTTACCGTTACAAAACGGCGATATAGTGAGAATAAACAAATTATTCAGTCTCTGTCTCTAAAGAGGTGATGTGTTCGTATTAACACTAGGACCAAATTTTATTTCCAATACATGATTAGAAGGAGAGTTCTTTAAGCTACAATAATCATCAATGAAAGTATTTTTTTTTGTTCTCTTCTAGCATTAAAAAACTGAGATCACTCGCTGATCAAGTTGCAAGAACGTTTTTAGACATGTTTGATTTTTTTGGCTTCTCTTTTTTTCTCAAATTCTTCCTGGAAAAATATAGCTGACACAAACCTTGTAGTTCAGGCATTACTCGTTTTAATTTAAAAAAAAAATTTATTTTGCAAGATGTTCCTAAACGAAGACCTATGACAGTAAATTTCGGCAATTACTTTTGTATCGTAGGATTATTTGATAATCCCTAAACATCTCTTTCAAAAAGCAAAGCAATTGATAAAAAAAACTGATTAACTATTGGAGAGTTTTATTTTGTATTTGTTGATCGTTTAATTCGTAAATTTGAAGAAACAGTATAAAGCCGTACGTATTTTGAAATAGTAATAAACAAACCGATATAAACTAGTTTTAATTACAAATGATACCGTACGTATAAAGTGCTATTTAAATGATGAAATTCATTCCAGGAATATCAAAATGAACAATTCGAAGAAAAAAAAGTGAAATATAGAGAATCAGATTTAGGAAACTTTTTAGTGTTGTTGATCAGTATAGTATTGTTTGTCATAATGTTTCTTTTATTCGTTCTATTATTATCGAAGATGATCTGTAATGTTTTCAATTGAAATCGTTATAATTTATAATTTATTTTTCTATAGATGGAATAGCTGTATGTATGATCTATGTCAATAGGTCATTTCATTTTTATTAAATTAGATGTAAAAATATAATTAAAGATGTTGATGAAAATAACTGTTACATGCATAGTTGATGTTATTTTAATTCTTCTTACTTTTTTCAACCAAACACGTTAATAGACTATGAAGATATAAAAACGAAGAAATATTTTTTAGTAGTGGAAATTATGATCTTGATGATGATGATGATGATGAATTTCTATATAATATTAGGTTGACTAAAAAGTTCGCGGTCACTTGCAAAAAGGA